TTGCCGTAGTGGAGTTCCAGACCTGTAGAAGCTAGGAAGCTGAAATTCTCTGATCAGTTATGGATTTTGGATCCGAAATCAGTTTCTGCGGCATCCTGTATTCTGGTGTTTGGATGCGCCCCAACGCACATAAATCTGAAATTATCCAGTATTTATCTCCCTTCATTTGTGTAATGACCTAGGACTCAAAATAGGGTTAATTCTAGTGAAAAAAGCTACGAAAATTTCTGCTAAGTGTACAATAGGAATGCAACTGAATGAGCAAAAACTGGATTTCGGAACTTTCTTCATCCTGATTGCATACTGACTGATTAAGAGGCTGGGAAAAACCGTAATGCGGAAATTTTGATGCTTTTGATATGACGGGGCGCCAAATCACTATTATGATGCGGTAAAACCAACGCATATGCTGTTTTTCGTCCACTAAATCTTCAGCAGCTTGTTGCAAAAACGCGTGACCGCGTTGATGCCATAGTATTTCTTGCTGTGCATTTTTATGAATTAATTTTTCGGTCGCTTTTGATAACCTTTTTGACTGTCAATATTGGAATTTTTGATCGGTGTTGAAAAGTTGCAGGCCGCAGTCTGAGCGTATCCAGGGCGGGTTCTTCCTCCCTCTGCTACTTTTCTTCGGTCGCTAGCGCGATTTCTGCCCTGTACGGCGTTTTCGACTAAATGTCTTCACTTCCGTGAATATTATACAGTGCGCATGGTGACCTGTATGAGAGCAAAAAAGCAGGACTGAGTTTTCCCTGTCTGATTTTTCTTTTTATAGATGCTGGACGATACATTTATGCTGGCGTGTCACGAGCCGCTCCACCAGCAGTGTCACGAGCACCTCCATCAAGCACGCCAGGAACACCTGCACAGTCTTCGCGAACTGTTCCAGTGCGTGTCTCGGTTGGCGTTGCAACTGAACGTCTTTCACAGCCCATTCAGAGGTTGGTCCTGTTTTGCTTCCACATGCTTCTTTATGGCCGCATGGGGTTTTTTTCTGCAGAGAAGCAAAATCTGTTCGAAAGGTGTAGACGTTCTTTAGCTAATCTCAGAATTCAGAGTTATATTTTTAGCCGCTTGGTGGAGCAGGTTGCTTACGCAATGGGACAGATCCATTTGCAGCCAAGCGTTCGTTCGCCAGCCCCACAAATTATCCAGCGCCGTGAATACTATTCTCAACCAGTACGTTGTTTTTCTACCAGTGCTTTTATCAGGCACAGCTTTCTTGCCTGAAAAATTCTATGTTTTTTTTCCCGTTCGTTTCTAAACTTGAATTTTTATGCTGTTCAAGTGCGGGAGATGATACTTAGCCCTCCCCGAAAAAAGACGAAATTAATTGATTTTAAAGCACAAGAACATAAAAATTA